GGTTGTATATTATAGTTTTTAACAATTTGGCACTAACTTATTTCAAAACTAGATTGTCTTTTTAGGCAAATTAATTTTTAAAAAGATTTTTAATAAAATTTTATTTAATTTGACCCCCTCATCCCCTTTGTAAGTGATTTTGTTATTTTTTTTAGGTTGTATATTATAGTTTCTAACAATTTGGCACTAACTTTATTTCAATATCCAATTGTCTTCATAGGCAAATTAATTTTGAAATAGATTTTTAATGAAATCTTATTTAATTTGGCCCCCTCATCCCCTTCCTAAGTGATTTTGGTATTTTTTTTAGGTTGTATTTTATAGTTTCTAACAATTTGGCACTAACTTTATTTCAATAACCAATTGTCTTCATAGGCAAATTAATTTTTAAATAGATTTTTAATGGAATTTTACTTAATTTGACCCCATCATCCCCTTCCTAAGTGATTTTGTTAATTTTTTTAGGTTGTATTTTATAGTTTCTAACAATTTGGCACTAACTTTATTTCAATACCCAATTGTCTTCATAGGCAAATTAATTTTTAAATAGATTTTTAATGGAATTTAGTTAATTTGATCTCCTCATCCCCTTCCTAAGTGATTTTGGTAATTTTTTAGGTTGTATTTTATAGTTTCTAACAATTTGGCACTAACTTTATTTCAATACCCAATTGTATTCATAGGCAAATTAATTTTTAAATAGATTTTTAATGGAATTTTATTTAATTTGACCCCCTCATCCCCTTCCTAAGTGATTTTGGTAACTTTTTTAGGTTGTATTTTATAGTTTCTAACAATTTGGCAATAACTTTATTTCAATACCCAATTGTCTTCATAGGCAAATTAATTTTTAAATAGACTTTTAATGGAATTTTATTTAATTTGACCCCCTCATCCCCTTCCTAAGTAATTTTGTTATTTTTTTTTAGGTTGTATATTATTGTTTTTAACAATTTGGCACTAACTTTATTTCAATACCCAATTGTCTTCATAGGCAAATTAATTTTTAAATAGATTTTTAATGAAATTTTATATAATTTGGGCCCCTCATCCCCTTTCTAAGTGATTTTTGTAATTTTTTTAGGTTGTATTTTATAGTTTCTAACAATTTGGCACTAACTTTATTTCAATACCCAATTGTCTTCATAGGCAAATTAATTTTTAAATAGATTTCTAATAGAATTTTATTTAATTTGACCCTCTCATCCCCTTCCTAAGTGATTTTGGTTATTTTTTTAGGTTGTATTTTATAGTTTCTAAAAATTTGGCAATAACTTTATGTCAATACCCAATTGTCTTCATAGGCAAATTAATTTTTAAATAGATTTTTAATGGAATTTTATTTAATTTGACCCCCTCATCCCCTTCCTAAGTGATTTTGGTAATTTTTTTAGGTTGTATTTTATAGTTTCTAACAATTTGGCATTAACTTTATTTCAATACCCAATTGTCTTGATAGGTAAATTAATTTTTAAATAGATTTTTAATGGAATTTTATTTAATTTGACCCCCTCATCCCCTTCCTAAGTGATTTTGATAATTGTTTTAGGTTGTGTTTTATAGTTTTTAACAATTTGACACTATTTTTATTTCAATATTCTGTTATCATTATAGAAAAATTGATTTTTTAATGAATTTTTTATTGGATTTTTAATTCAGTTTACCCCTTAATCCTTTCTCTAAACATTTTTTATTTCTTTCTTAAAAATGTAGTAGTAATTTTATTTTAATACACCGTTAACTTCACAGAAAAATACATTTCAACGCCACTGGTAACTCGGGTGTTTCCGGTAAACGGGCTGCTGGAAAGTGCATGGCAGCTAACTTCACACCGGTTATTCTCTTGAGGCAATCGGGGTATTCTCAAACCATTCAAAATATACTTTAAACATGTCATAAGTTTCGGAATTAGTGTAAGGCATTATGTATTTTTAACTAATTAAAATATATTTTTACACATATTCATTTGACATAAGCTTATTGACAATTAAAAGCCAACTAGATTAATATGAAGAAAATTATACAATTATAGAAGTATGATGTTTAAATTTAATATTATGTGCCAGAATTCTGGTACTCTATTGGTGTTTTCTTTTCTATTTTGTTTTTAGTTATTTGATCTGTATTTTATTAATATATATTCAATTTCTATTTCAAATTTTTAGTTACATATTAAATCAGTAAACTTACACTAAAGAGCTAATTAAAATCTCATTTTAATAATTTTGTGTGGTCATCACTACAGCTAAGCTATCCAAAAATTACTGACGTATTAAAACCAACTAGATTAATATTATAAAGAATTTTATTTATTATTATCTATGTGGACTCAGCATTAATAGCCTTTTGCTTATATTCCGTTAGAATTGAATTTTCTTTTTAAATAACGTATACAAATTATAAAATTTCGTTTAAAAGTTTCAAGAAAACTTCGAAAAAAATGGTTACTCTTCAAACAATGCCACCTAGTGCTCATTTAAACAACTGAATCAGAACTATATTGAAATATTTTACTAAACAATCAATTTGATTTTAATCGATAGTTTTTTTTTTAATCTGACGAACGACACCGTAGTTATAATAGTTTTATTAAATTAAGGTTCCTAGGTGCCCCTATCAGTTATTTTAGTGAATAGAGCAAAAATTGTTGGATAAAACTTTTGTTAAGATATGTTCAAAATTACAGTTCTTATATTATTGTCACGGCATAAGAAACAATCGGCAGGCTAACTTGTCTTGGCGGCAACGCTATGCGCACATTTTGGGGTCCAACCTCTCAATCAAGGGTGGCGTCACTGTCGTCGTTTACATCGACAAAAACAAACAAGTTGCAGCAGCTCGGAATCAGTAGCGTGTGTCTTAAATTTATTTTGTTTGTGATGTGTGTATTATGTAGTTATTGTTATTTTTTTAGAATTATAGATATTTTTTGACACTTTTTATATAGTAGTTTTTTTCCAGTGTTAATTTGCTAACTTTTACGTATTTTACTATGTCTGGGCAAAGTTGTGCAGCAAAAAACTATATGAATAAACTGTATTAAAAGATTTTTTTGATTTCTTAGGTCGATTCCACCGTTGTGTTAAACGAATTTTAAAATGACATTTTTACATTAACAACGTCATTTTAATCTCCGTTTAACACAATGGTGGAATCAGTCCTTAAAGATCCTATTAGGTAGGTATGTATGGTATACTTTTAAAAAAAATCCTAGGTTATGGGTCAGTTTGTGAGTTATAAACCTATTAGTAAGATGTAGGTAGGTGCCTGGTTAACGTCACGTAAAGTTTAGTGGCAATTTATATTTACTTATGTAGGTATATTATTAAGATTTAAAGTAAAATGTATTTTAAACATCTGCCGTATGGAGTTGACAAAATAGGTTTACTACATTAATATGGTCCAGTTCAGGGTCTTAATAAATGAAGAAACTTGAAATTGACAAAAGGAAAAAATCTGTATTACCTATTGATTTTACGAAAATAGGATTGGAAGGGTCGCTATAGGTATTGAGACATTTCCTTAGTGCAGTGGCACAATAGATCTTTTAGGTCGCAGTGTATTAACACCCCATTATCAACATAACATAACATATATTTAAGGCTACTCATATATTACACTTTAAAAATATTAATAGAAATTTTAAGACCATCAATAAAAACAAGCTATCTGTAGAGCATATTGTCTTTCTTAGTGCTGTTCTTCTAAGTTAAATTAAAATATATTTCATGTAAATTTTTACTTTTTTGTTTTAATACGATCCTACCTATCAATACCTTATTTTATTACAAAATCTTTAAATACGCTTTAATCCGACCCTGACTAAGACCCCCGAATGGCTTCGCCAAGGTCAAATTTTCTTAGCATGATATTTGTATGCGATCAGCGGCAAGTGAGCCTGCCGATTGTTTCTTATGCCGTGTTATTGTCATACTATTATTGGACATTTACAGGTGAAAAGTGATTTTTTGAATTGCCATAGCGAATTACGTCCTCTAACGGTAAAAATAGGAAGTTGAAAATAGTTTGCAGCATTTTCTTTTGACCGACTTGGTTATAATTTTTTTTAAGCTGTAGGAAATAGTAGTTTCCGAGATACAGTCGCTAAGAGTCTTTAATCAGATACCCTCAAATGATAGTACTACTCCACGCGATAGTGTGATTAAAAAATTTGCCATTTCAGTGCTTAATATTTTATTTAATACCAATTATAACTAGATAGAAATACACTACATTTAATTTAAAATAATAATTATGATTTTCGCGTCAGCTAAACGACTTCAAATACGCTAGTTCAGTGATGATGTATTTATGGTTCCACTGACAATTAAAGTGACAGTAGATTTTTTGAGTGCGTTTTGTTCGTTTTGTTTACCTAAATTATATCGTTTTTTTCACTTATAGACATATATTCCTAAAATAAGTAGATAGCATGTATCAAATATACAATCGTTTAGTTACCAATTACATACCTTTAAACTATTTTTTATGACCTGTAAACAATATTTTTAAATAAAATAAAAACAGTAAAAACGTATATGTCAAATTTATTAATGTTTTTGTTAAAAGTTTGGTTAGAATTAAATGTCAGTGGAACCAAAATGACATCACACTGAACTAGCGCATATGATAAATATGTATAGTTGGCATGGCCAATTTTTTTATATATATTTGATTTTAGTCGTTTAAATGCATGTCTGTCAAGTCTTGAAATTTTTATATTTCGGTGTAAAATTTTCTTACCTAATACCACACGTGCCTAAATTATTGTCTGGAAATTTTGGCTTACTTACGAATATTTCCAAAGTAGGCCATGACTGACGAATACAGAGATTCAAGTCATGTATGTGATAAGTTCACACGCCTCTGAATTAAATCCAAATTTCTGTTTAAAAAGAAGAATAAATATACCCTCCGAAATTCGTGATGTTTTCCATATCGTACTTTAAAAACAGTTTTTGTGATACACTCCATACCTACTATTGTATACATTTTTTTAGGAGATACCGATAAATTGGTAGAATTATTGTTGGATGGTTATGACCACATTACAGATATAGTTGATAATGAAGATGTTCCGATTATTGAAGCAGTTTCTAAAGCCGATCAACCTGATACAGTTTCTTTCCTTCAGTCTATATTGACCTTTGAGGTACAGAAAACAATAATTTTTAAATAACAATAATTACTAACTGGCAATTATAAAAGAAGATACTTAAACCTAATAACTTATTTTAGGAAAAGAGAGAAAGAGTTCATCACGCAATTCGTCAAGGATCGCTCAATGACGTCACTACTCTTCTAGCTGATGAAAATGATACTGGGAGCGGAAAACTATTGGCTATTGGCAAAAATAGTTATGGCAGATGTACACTGCATATCGCAGTTTTATGTCAACAGGAGGAAATTGTCGATTATTTAGCTAATACTTTTGCGGATACTTTAAAGTTAGGAGATAACGTAAGTAAAATACTTTTCTGAAAAAGAATTGAAATAAATTGGTATTTAAATTGAAGCTTCGTTAAAAATAATAAAATGACAATTCAGTCACATGTTGTTTTGTTGTTAGAGTATTGTTACTAGTTATTATTGACTAAACTGCAATTTTAATCTAAAAATTTTATAAACTAATTACTTATCTAAGAAGTCTTTATTGGGTTGTCTTAATTGTTTCTATAGGAAAGCATCACAAGTTGGCGTGATGATTTATTACACTGTTTTACACTAGCACTAACAATAACGTTCACTGCACTAGCTCAAATGGCTTCTTGATTTTGAGCCTTCGATTGAGTGTATAGTTGTCCAAAATTGCAGCGCTTCTTCGTTGACGTGGGAGTGGAGTAGGTTCTCACGTTTCGCAGCAAACCTCTTTATTTCTCCTTCGATTGTTGGCATCTCTAGATCTCTATGAATATAATCGTTTCGATAGAACCAAGGTGCATCAACGATGTATCTTAGGACTTTATTTTGGAAAACTTGTATCATGTTGATATTACTTTTGCTGCCACATCCCCATAACTGTATGCCATAAATCCAGATTGATTTTAGGATTTGTTTATAAATTAGCAGTTTGTGGTACACTGACAATTTGGATTTTCTTCCTAGGAGCCAATACATTTTTTTTTAATTTAAGTTCATGTTCTTTACGCTTTTTTATGTGCTGTTTCCATTTAAGTCGTACATCTAGATTCATTCCTAGGTATTTGGCCGAATCATGATAAGGAATAACGTTATTGTTTATTTTTATTTGTTTTTAATCATTTGGTCGAAGAGTAAAATCAACATACACTGATATAGTTTCATTTATTTTCTACTTTTTTGTCCATCGATTGATTTTGTTGCAGGTTTCCAGAAGTTGTTTTGAGGTGTCTCTATTAGTTCCGCCAACTGCCAATATTGCAGTGTCATCCGCAAATGTTGCTACACGGCCTTGTAGGACACCTGTTTTAATTTCTTTTATTTCGGAGTATGCCTCATCTTGCTTTACTCTAAACATTTTTCCCATTAGATATGATTGTAGAATGTCGACATATTGTCTAGGGAGTATTTTTTCAAGATCAGACCAGCGTGCCAAACCTTGTCAAATGCTTGGGCTACGTCAAGAAATATAGCTGAGCATATGTATTTTTCTTCGTAAGCTTTTTCGATGATATCGGCTATCCTGTGTACTTAATCTATTGTCGAGTGTTTGTTTCTAAAAACAAATTGGTGCGAAGGGATCAGTTTTTTATTTTTACATATTGGTTTTAGTCGTTTTAGTAGTAGTTTATCAAATAATTTAGATATTATTCGTAACAATGATATAGATCTGTATCATGACACTTCATTCGGATGTTTTCCTGTCTTAAAAATTAGGATAACTTCAGTCATTTTCCACGCATCAGGTATATATTTAAGGCGAAATGCTGCATTTATGAGGTATATCAATTTAACGATAGCCTTCTGTGGCAGTTTCTTCAATATTTCTCCAGTAATAAGGTGTCATGTCCTAGGGCTTTCTGTGAATTGATGTTTGTCTGAATTTATTTCGTAACTTAATTGTAACTAGCTTAATTTCAAGTTGTTCCATATTAGGGATCGTTCTGATTTTCATCTAATTAAAACGTCTTTTGTATGTGGTCAGCGAAAATATCAGCTTACTGTTGGTTGTCTCTTGCCCATTTGTTATCTGCTATTTGATAGGAGGACAGTGTTTACACGAATTTTTCATATTTTTAGTTGCCTGTCAGAGCCAATACAGTTTCTTTTGCATCTGTTAGCCCTACTAGGTATCTGTTGAACGATTCTTTTTTGTGATATAGTATTTCTCTTCTCAATTTTTGGGTAGCCTTTTTAAATATATTTTTATCTTTTGGTGATCTTGTCATCTGCCATTTCTCTTAGTTTTCTTTTTATTGCTACTCGTGCTCTTATATCGACAGGATAGATTTTTCCAGCTGTTAATCTTCTTACTTTTGGTGTGTTCCTCCATGCAGCTTGCTGCATTTGAACTATAAACCTTTCCAGTTCTTTATCTAGCTGATTTTTCGTTTTTAGTGTTATAGTCAGTTGAACAGTATTTGTTAAGTCCTCTTAAAAACTTTCTCAATAAGTTTTCCGGTTTTCTTCTTGCTTTTTGAATAACATTATCACTTAGAGTAAGGACTACTGAAGAATGGTCTAAATCCATATCATAGTTTTCTTCTACTTTTACAAAAGGTCTGGAATCTTATTTGGATCGGTGGGCCAATAGGTGGGTTTTTCAGAAGATTGGTATGTACAACTAAGTTCTGATGCAGCTCGGTGCAGTTCTTTTCCTTTGAATGTGGTTAATTTTGAACCCCAGATGGTGTTTTTGCAGTTGTAATCGCCACCGATTATAAATATGTTACCTAGTTTTTTGAGTACATTGAGATAATTTTCTTTTTTCTGGTTGTATCTTGGTGGGTAATAGATTGCAGCTATTGTTATTTTTGTCCCCCTTAATGTTAGTAGTGCTAAGGTTACCTGATTTTCTGGTTCTTGGTCACATGTGAAAATTGGTATTTCAATTCTCCTCTAAAAATTAAAACGTCGGCTTATTTCTAACTACTATTTTTATATACCGACATTGAAACATATTTTTAAATTTATATTTCTTAACCACCGACTAGGTTTGAATAGATCCCATTGTGCCATCGTTGGCTCTGGGAAAAGTCAAAAACGGCACCGCGGAAAACTTGTTCGAGGTGTGGTTGATAAATGGCTAGGCGATTAAAAAATTAAAATGATGAGAATTTTATATTATAAGTAATTCAATTTAAATCCGTTCAACTATCGCACAGTATGGTTGAAAATTTCAAAAGACTACTTGGAATCTAGGTCAAGATCAATCGCGTATGTATTAAATTTTGATCGTTAAAAAAAATAATGCTAAAATTAATGCTTAAAAACAAAAAATAAAGTCTGCCAATAAAAATAGTTTTAAAATGTGTAGAGAAAACAAACAAACAACAGTAAGCGATGACGAGGAAAAAATCTAGAACTGAAGAACGGTATTCAACTGATCAAATGTGGTCATTTTAAAGGTAAGATTACTCAAAACCAATCCCACATAAATATAGTTTTATTGTTAAAAAATAATTGGTTTCGGCAATATACCATCATCAGATCTAAAAGGAAGAAAGTAGATGTTACAAATTAAAGATAAAGAGAAAAGAGCGTACATACCTAAGAAAAAACTAATAAGCGCGTACAATACTGTGTAACGTGTAATATGTGGTTATTTAAAAGTGCCATATAAGAGGGTATTAATACATTGTATTAAATGCCCTTTTATATTAATACCCTTTTTTAAGAGATAAAAATCTATTTGCGAGGCTCTTTGAAAGAGGTACAATCAAACAAGTAATATAAATTAAAAATTAAAAAAAATCGACTTCAAAAACGTGCAGATGCCATCACCACATCTTAACCAAATTTATATGGGACCACCCCTGAGGTACCCCCTTACTAACAAAAAAAGAATCATATAAATCGGACAAGTTGGTGAAGCATTATCGCTAAACATACATAAAAAATGAAGAGTTTGAGGATTTTCTGATAGACCCAATTATTAGATTTTGACCAAATTTATATGGGACGACCCCTAAAGTACCCCCCTTTCTAACAAAAAAAATTATCGCTGAACATACATACATAAAAAAAAAAATATCGCGACGAATTGAGAACGTCCTCCTTTTTTGAGGTCGGTTAATGACTGCAGAGGCATTAAATATTTTGCAGAAAACTATCTGTAGACTTAGTAAACAAACAAATTCTGATACAGGGTGTGTGAAAATAATGTCTAAAAAAGTAAGCCAAAGTAAAACAAAAGTCAATTCTTTAATATTAGGTAAGTTGGGGCAAATATAAGATGTACGAAGGTACGCAACATGTAACAATTAAATCGTTACAAAAACGATTTTCGGAAGAAATGCAAACGATTTTTGGAAGAAATGTCTGATGTCCCAATAAATACAGTTTATCGGCGCCGTAACTGGGCCGAAGGAGGCTTGCCGGATGCCGGACTCGGCCCGATATACGGGTGAGGCTTCGGCATATAGGTAGGGCATGTCCGCCCAGCCGAATGTCGGCAGCCCACTAAATTGTAGCCGCTTTCATATATCTATATAATAATTCGGACCGTAAGGATACCTCCCATGCCCGACTAGCCAAATATTAACCGCGTTTGGCCCGTAAGGATGCTTCCCATATCTGGAACGCCAAATATGGACCATATGCGGTTTCTAATTCTAAATTACTTCAAATGGTACGGTCCTCCCGGCTCAGAAGAAATTCCGACAACGACAATCCCGTACATGCCGGTGTCAAGCCGAGCGAATGCCGACTATTTATGGTTTCCTGGAGTGAAATGTTCTGCACGGTCAATTAATACATGGTTTTTAAAAATTGGCTTTTGCTTTAAAAGATGTAACAACAGACAGTTTTTTATTGGAACGAACATCAATTCAGTTAAAAAAATATCGTTTTTGAAAACAATTAAAATGGAGATGAGTAGGCCTGTAATTATGGATGAAACGTGGGTATATATCAAGGGAAATGACAGAAAAAATTGGCAAGATGGAAAGATGGTTATTGCAAGTGAAAAACCAGGAAATGAAATTCGATACATATTTGTCTATGGTGGCCATTGAGATAGAATGACGATGCTAAAGTTTTCGCATCTTTGCATTATACTTTTACGTCATATTTCAAACTCGAAATATTGAAGCTAGTCAGTTTTGGTGAGAATGCCATTTTTTTAAAAAAAAGCTTTATTTAAATGAAATAAAATCATTTTTATTTCGTCAGACTTCAAATATAAAATTATTAACTTCAAATAAATCAAAGTACGACTGAAATCACCATTTTCATTATACTTTTTGGTCACTCGAAGTGCGTCCATATGTCATATCGCAAAAAACTATTTATGTCGTCTCTACTTTATTCAATCTCAAATATGGTGAATGAAGAAGAGTTTATAAAAAATGCAGACCTCATATTTAAAAGTCAAACAAAAAGCAGGAATTACCATAATAATATGAAATTTTGAAAAATGCTTTAAGACGAAATTTATAACTAGTCTTTTTAATTATAACCGATAATGGGGTCTATTCTGTAAAACATTCATTAAAATTTAGAGGCCTTTAAAATTTTAACTTTTAGCTGCCCATTAATTTTTTTAACCAAAAATGGCATTCTGTATACACAAATTTTAGAGGCCTGTTAAAAATGACACGAGAACACTTGACAACATCATATTTAAAATTCATATGAATTAATTTTGAAGGATTAGAAGAATACATTTGAAAACATAACCATACAAACCCATAATTTTCAATTCAAAACCTAAACATACCTACATACGTTAAAAATAAAAAATGTCTCGCGTACCATGAACTACTTAAAAACAAAAAGAGTTGCATGATGATAAACTTCTTAGAACAGCAAAATTTGCTTCACGGTGGAAAAATAAATCCTGTAGATACAACGAAATTGGGCCCAAATATCTAGACACTGCGACCAAGTTGGATCTATTGTAGTTCATGACTAACTTATAGTTCACCATACAAGCCACACCTTTCATCTAGGAAAATTATATTTATCTTGAAATACAAATTGGGTAACAGGTTATTGTAAATTTTATTTGTTACTTCATCTATATTTCTACTCAGAATTGATTGACTAGAAGCAAAATGGTATCCCTGTCTTGTAAATAGTTGGTATCTTTCTGTTCCAAAAAAAATGTAGACTTGCAAGTATTTTAAAATAAATTGGTATTTCCGTATTTCTTCGAGATGGCCCCACGTGTGGTTATATAATATTAACTATAGTTCTGGCTACATCTTTATAAACCAAAAAATATTTTTAAAATCTACATTTTAACATAATAGAAATTCCTAAGGTAACGCATAAAGAGCGAACGAAATCAACGAAATCAACGAAAATATGAATTCTAAGGTGAACTACTAAAACATTCGCTATGAAAAGCTGTGGTTAAACTTACTAATATAATAGACGCTGCATTTCAAATACAGCATCTGAAAAGTCGCTGAAATTACAATGATACCCAAACCTGGAAAACCACCAAAAAAAGTAAAGTTGTATAGACTTATATCCCTATTACCAGTGCTGTCTAAACTGTTCTAAAAACTTTTACTAAAAAGATTGAAACCCATAATAGACAGTAAATATATAATTCCGGACCACCAATTTGGATTTAGGAACAAGCATTCCACTATTTATTAAGTCCACAGAATAACTAATGAAATAGAGAAAACACTAGAAGAAAAGAAGATATGCACCTCACTTTTTCCAGATGTTGCTTAGAATTTCGATAAAATATGGTTAGAGGGCCTTGAATATAAAATAAATAAACTTTTTCCTAAGCAATTTTGTGACATCTTACTTGGCTGATACAAACTTTCTAGTAAAACAAGAAGTATATTCCACGCTGAAAAAACTAAAGCAGGGGTACCTCAAGGAAGTGTTCTGGGGCCAGTTCTGTACCTGTTATTTACCCCGGACATACCACAAATGCAAAATGTGAAAGTAGCCACATTTACTGACGACAGGCAACTAATAAAATCTACGAGTAGACAAAAAGATGACATATTAAGCTCGACAAAACTAAAACAGTTCAGGATAACTTCACTAATAAAATACCAGTAGAATACATCCAGTGATATTAAATATTAATATTCGGCGAAATACTTAGGCATGAACCTAAATATAAAAGTGGAAAGAACACATAAGGAGAACGGGAAGAGTTGGCTATTAAATATAGAAAATTATACTAGTTGATGAATAGAAAATCAAAACTTTCAATTAAAAATAAATATTTAATATACAAACAAGTACTGAAGCAAGTATGACTTACGCCATAATGCCAGTAAAAATAACATAAATATATTACAATGTTTCAACAAAATATTAAAGGCAGTAAATCCCCCTTGGTATGTAAGGAACTCAGATCTTTATAGAGATCTGAGAGTGCCTACAGTCGAAGAATAGAGAAAATCCATCGCAAAAAAAGAGATTGCATGACCACGTCAATATTAAAGTTCTACAGTTTCTGGACAACTGATACCTAATGAGAAGGCCCAGAAGGACCAAACCATTTGAATTAGTGATATGAAAATGTGTTAATGCAGAGCACAGTGCGCGTGTGCATTGTATAGTTCATTAGAACAGAAAGAGTGAACTCTTAGTTTAAGCCTCTTAAGTTTACGTAAAATATAATAAACTAACAAAAACTAATCTAATTTAATATCCAGATTACATAAAAACTACACTTACGTAGTTTCGATTTGCCATTCCAGGCTCAAATAAATGAATTTAAGAGAACTAGGGATGACGCATTGAAACTCGCAGTCCCGATAAGTCAATTTGATAATAGGCCTTAATAGTTTACATTTTTTGTGGGAAGTTTTTAAATTTTTAGGTGCCTTGCCTGTGCCTGTATGTATTCGGATGGTTTTAAAATGAAAATCATATGTTTTGGCATTGATCAGCACCTTCTTCAGTATGGTATTTATTACTTATATTATTAGTGAATTCCAACAAAAAAGTGCATGGTAATAAGAACTAAAAACTTCTCTCTGTAATAAAAACCAAACAAGTTTCTTTGTTCCGGACCTCCAGGAAGGCCCATAAGCGTAAAAAATTGGTATCCACACCAGAACCATATCAAAACATCTAAGCAAAACCGACCCGGCTAACTTATAAAATAATATATCAAAAATAAAGAATAAGAATAAATCGTAAAAGACACCCCTACTTGTGCCCAAGGCAATATAATATCTTAAAAAAAAGAAATTTAAAACAGATGTAAATAAGAAACTAACAAGCAAATATATGAAGAAGGAACTGGTCAGTGCCGAAAGCTCTAACATATGATTTTCATTTTAAAACCTTCCGAATTCATACAGGTACCTAAAAACCCAAGAACTTACCACAAAAATTATAAATTAAGGTGCATTAAGTTAATACAAAATAAAGCAGATACCCTGACTTCCTATAAAGTACTATTACTAGTTTACTATAGCTATTTTTAATTTAATATCGCAATCATATTTTTTTAGTTGGAAAGAACAGCTCTACACTACGCAATGGGCGTCGAAAAAATGGAAAGCATCAGTAGAGTCCTAATTAAAGCAGGAGCAGTTCGAGTAGTCAAGGATCTTAAAGGGAGACAACCGACGTACTATTTCCTCAATAAGTCCGACATTTTGAGATTGCAAGAGGAGGAAGAGACGTTTTGAATATCAAAGCAAAGTCTGATTAGCGCCAACAAATTTGTCGACGTTGTTTTTAACGCTGTTTATAAACGCAAAGAAGATAAAAAGATAAATAATGTGAAAAGTAAATATAGACAATACGTAAGGCAAATTAATCAAATAAAAAATATTAGAAAATAAAATTTGGTGATGATTTTTTACTAGATATTTGAAATAACTTATTTACATACACTAATTGTACACTTTTCTAAAAAATAAAATATGCTTTTTGTATATTTTGCAAAATTGGATAAACATTTGATTACTGAAAATGAAAAAAATAATAATAATAAAGCAATTATGTTTAAAACAAAGATGTTCTAAAAGTGGCAACGCTAGAAGGATTGAGGTATAAGATTTGTTTTATCACAAAAATAACATTTTTTAAAATGTAAACTGTTCCCAATCAAAAATTTCTAAATTTTAATATATTCATTTATAAAAAATTTTGTAAAAAAATATGCATGTTTTTGTGTTTTCATCGCCAAACTGTTCATCTTTGCTTGAAACATCCGAAAAAAATATATGTTTGTAATATATCGTCATATTCCAGCGAAAAGTCAATAACTGACACTCGGTGCTAAAATTAACTAACTACTGCTCACGACATATTGTTTCTGTTAGCGTATAAAGTTACTAACTACAAAACATCAATATTCAAGATTATATTGTCTCATTAAACGTCACTAAGTAATAAAAATATAATAAAAAATGTATTATACAAAAGATCCCTAAGTGACTTAATGGGTTTCCGCATAAATAATTCAAAAGTGTGGAAAGCAAATAAATTCTAAACTTCACTGAGAGCAGTTAGTGATTTTTGATATATATTTGGTTTATAGCGGTTATTTGGCCAGTGTTTACTTACACTTAGATAAGTAAACAATTTTTCATTTCTTTAAATTCATTCGTGTTTTGTCCGATATTTTGAATCTCTGCTTTATTAGGGGAAAGGTATACAAAATGACATAGGGTTTTTCCAAATTGAAAAATTTATTAAAAAATAAACATTTTAATTTTAATTTTCTCTTAACTTTACTTCACCGTTTTTTAACAAAATTATAAAAGACACAGAACAGCGAAAAATTTATTTTACCCACCCATGCGGGTAAAATGACACACACTTTTTTTAAGGTTTTTAAACAATAATACAAATTTCACAAATAAAAGCTTTAGTTTTCTTGTCTACCCCAGCAAGCAAGAGCGACACTGAAGCCATATTTTTCAGGTCTCGATCTTTTGTATTGCTCTGTGCAGTAAATACATGAGCAATCATCATCTTCGTCTTCAGAAAATGGCTCTTCGTCTGAGTCAGTCTCTATTACCGTTCTCCGTTTTTTTTTCTGCGACCGTATTTTTTGGCCTGCTCTTCTCTTTTGCTTTCTCTAAACTGGGAGTAGAATTTAAAATATTCGATCCTTGTCGTTTTCTGGGTTTTCTTTTTCCTTGTCTTGAAACAAATGACCCAACTGGCATTGGACTTAATTATGCCAAACTAACACTCAAGGAGCTTTTATTTGTATTATTTTCTGAAGGGCAAATATCTTCTTTGCTTGTTCCAGGCTGCAGTTCATCAATAATAGAATTATTTAATGAAGGTTTTGATATGGGAGAATTATCTTCTTGGCTTGTTTCAGGCTGTGGTTCAGCAGTCACTGAAATATTTGTTGTTTCTGATGCCTGGAACATATAATCTGGAAAACCCTCGGCGTTCATTGGGCATATCCCAGTTTTCGCGAAACCATGAATTGCATTTTGCACAGTGGCTGATTTTCCATATTATGCTTCATTGAATGAAGCGCCTACTTGGAATTGCTTGACGACTCTACCGGGATGTGTTTTAAGCCACTTGCTTATCTCTTGGTCATAATAAACCTTTAATGGGCCAAAAAATGATACGTCTAGTGGCTGCATTCTGTGTGTGCAGTGTGGAGGTAGACATAGAAGCACAATTGTCTACTCTTTGGCATAAATTAGGGCATCCAGGTATTTGTGTCTTGAATGCCCATCCACAATTAAAAGAACTTTTTCATCTAGGGAAACCTTCGAATATTTTTGAAAGTATTTTAACCAATCTAGGAAGATTGTCTCTGTCATCCAACCAGATTCCTGAGGTATGCCTAGAGTTCCTGGTGGAGTATGATCTATTAATTCTATTTTCATATTTTTTCTTGCGAAAATTAATTCTGATGAAACAAAACTACCGTTGCTACACATACAACAAATCACAGATACGTGACTTCCTCTCTCGGCACTCGAAACAGCACCAACTTGCATTCAGCCTGCTGTGGTAAATATTTTTTAAAGACGTTGCACAGTAGACAGCCCCGATTCGTCTACGTTATATATTCTCAGTTGGTCCATATTTTCTTTTTTTAATGTATCTTCTAGAAGGATAAAAAATTTAGCAACTTGTGGCTTGTTAAAGGCTTAAGCTCTCGCTGCCGATGTGGCTTCCGGTTTACGCAAGGATATATCCGGATTTCTTCGTCTGAACTTTCGCAGCCAATCTTTTCCTGCTGTTTTCTTCCCGTTGTTGAAGAAATGTTGAAACCCATTCCTAACAGCTAATTGGTAGGCTAGTTCAAGATCTTCTTTTCTTGTTAGTCCAAAAAACCTTGACTCTAGTAATTTGATATATTCAACTAGTTACCGTTCTACGTTAGGAGAAAACGTGGGTCTAAATCTGCCAAGCTGCTATTCTCCAGTCTTCGTCAGTTTATTTTTCATTAATGCTTGCCTCCCAAGGTTGCTTGAGGAACACTGTAAACTTTCGTATTTCTATTTGAATCCTGATATGTATAACGATAAAAAGTTGCATTAACATTTCTGATATCTATGACCTTTAAGATCTCATAGTAACCTCATTATTAAAAATTACCTTTAAGACGACAATGGTAATACAGTCAAATGCTTCAGATCAAATGTTTACGATATGAAAAACAAAACCCAAGGCATAATAAAATTTCGTTATAGCAACAGTGGACCATATAATACTGTAAACGTTTTTAAACAAGGTTGTCAAAGTAATATAAAGTAAATAAAAAAATCTTATCAAAAGCCTCTCCCCATAAGCGTTCTCAAGCAAGATTGATTAAAATTATGTTTCATAAACATTATACCAGAAGAACTTCATCCATGGTATCAATCATTAATAATCACTACTGACGTGCTAGATCGTGTGATGGAACCTGCCAATAACGAGGAAGAAGAAGCGGAACATAGTGGTCAATTGAGAACCCGATTGCAAATTTTATTTTTTTTATTTCTTTTAATCACGTACTTTGCTAATTTTTTTATGTGTTTACCTGATTGTTCAAAAATACAACTTTATGTAGTTGTAGTTTGTGAGCGAATAAATCACTAATTATTTCTAGCTTGAATTTTTTATTTTAAAAATTCATTAACTGGTAGTTTTTTAAAAAACTACGACTTTAAAATAGAATAGATGAACCAACGTTAACGAAATCAATTATTACATAGTTGATTAGCTTGATTTCGAAACACAATTTATATAAGAATATATATAAAACCGATTTAAAAACCTGATAAATATCTTTAAATTGAATTGTCTAAAAAGTAATTAAAAGTTAGTGCTTTTCCTCTAGAATATGACGATATTTTATCAAAAAATGAATCCGTCCACCTATCAATGGGTATGATTTAAAAAAAAAAAAAAGTATTATATTTTAGAATATATGAATAAAAAATAGGTAAAAGTAACTACCTAGACAGCACAAAAATATTACATGAATATTCAATGCACATCCATATTGCAGGCTTATTCAAGGTCACCATGAAATATATGCCCACGTTATAATTTTATTTGCCAAAATATATGTATGGCATAGGTATTCTCTGGATTTACTGAGGATATCTATGTATGCCTATATTCATAGTATTTTGAATATTTATGGCACATTGATATCTTTAGTTTTCTGTAATGCAGTACCATAATACCAAAATAAAACTCATACTAAAATACAAATTTGTAATACAAAATAAATTTTATTTTAAAAAATAAGGCATGTATTCTAAAAATAAAAACAATACATACATACAAAAAAACTATAAATTTAAATTTATTTGCTGAAGTTCTTCACGTACTTTTCTCCTAAAAAATTAAATATAAAATATATATTTTTATATTATTTCAATTTACATTTTGAAGCTTTTAATAATGTGTTAAAATTGAGATAAAAATATCAGTATAACAGAAATATTTGAAATCTTGAGACAAACATTACAGTAATATTTACTGCTGTAGAATCTTTGGGTCACTTTAGTTATAGTAATTGCTTCCTATACATTTTCCTTTGCCGTTTGTTTACTCTGGGTTTTCCTAAACATCTCTAAAAAAAAATAGGATTAAATAGTGTCTTGTATGAAATAGGTAATTCATTGGCATTAGATGTCTCTGAACTAATATTTTTCATTGCATAGGGAGATGTTAAAATAATCTCAGATTCTTGAATTTTACTGAACTTTTTTTTTGTGAAAAGAATTACATTCCTCTGAAGCCAAATGCTCTTATCATTATTTGAGGATAAAAAAAACTCTTGTACCAACTGATTTTCACTTCTTATAAAATATTTATAAATTTTTATAATTTTAAGCACTATACTGTTACTACAGAAGGAACATATATATTATAGTTAATCAGACTTATCCCTTCGGTGGGTATATCGTGAGAATTACTTATAAAAACAATAAATACTCTCCAGCATCTCTCTCGTCAACCTGAGAATAAGTTTGGTTGTGTGTAGAGATGGGTTGCTATTTCACAGTAGCAGGTTTTGTCACTGCTTTTCTCTTGTCACTGGAGCAAAATGCTCCACGACTCACCAAAAAGTTGTTACTTTTCGGAGCAGGTTCCGAGAAAAAAGGAAAACAATATACATTCTTATTTTTTTAAATTCTTTTTTTTATAGACTTATTTTGTCTATTCATATTCAATATAAAAAAGATGGCATTCAAAACTTAGA